TAAGCTTCTATGAATCAGCACGAGCTGGCTCGGACGGCTCCTCAATGCTCCTGAGATGTCCAAAACGTGCACGAGGAGAACAAAAAGATACGAACCACATCACTGCGGAATCGATTTCTTCCAGGGAAGCTTGAGAGAAGCTACGATTATACTTCACCTCCCAAAGTGTTGCTGAAGTTGCTTGGTAGTTCCCATGGTCCATGTGCGTGGAATCTGGATGCTGGCTTGGTGGTCGATGGTGGGTCTGGGGTGGAAGATGCATATGGTGTAACGTGTTGGACCGTGATGATTGATTTGAACCACACACAAGGCAGGGGTGATAAGTAGTGGTAAATTCCAGGGACTAGAGCTGAATCCACTGGTACAGCGTTCGCGATCTTTGCCGCAGTGGCTGCGGGCGCTGTGTGTATCTCGCGTCAAAGAAACGTTCCGTAGTAGTAAAAAGAAGTCCGAATTAGTGGCTTCTTCGATAACCTTCACTTATCATATCACATCGATGGAGAACTATGATTAGCTGCGCTTCCATTTGCACTGCAGTGAACGTTTGAACAGGCAGGCCACCCGCTGGAAATATATATACAACCCTGAGTATTGAGTGGAGTGCCTACCCACTGCAGTGCTCTTCTCCTTCCTTTCATCCACAATCAACGTTTCAACTTCTATACCTCACGAGCATACCTTCAAGCGTAGTATATGGCTAGTCAAGCACCCAGAGGCAGAGGTGGGAGGGGTGCGAGAGGCGGTGGAGGCGGTGGCGCCGGGAGGGGCGCTGGTGCTGGAAGGGGCGGCGGGCGAGGTGGTGGAGGGGTGGGTGCAGCGACTGGATCGCTCAATATCGCGTCACACGTTCAGACCGTTGGAGTCAAGCGACCGGCTTACGGAACTGCAGGTCGTCCCATTACTGTGATTGCCAATGCATTCGAAACCCCCATCCCTGGCAAGATAATCCGACACTACGACGGTCAGTTCAGATTCACTGATTGATAGACCACCGCGTTTGACATTTACTCGCTGCGGCTTCGTTTTATTAGTGGGTAAGTACCACTCTGATTCGACCATCTTCTTTCGAGATTGACATATGCGATCTAGTCATCGAACCGTCGGAGAAGGTACTCCCAGCAAGGGTGAATAACGATATTATCAAACAACTTCAGAATACAGTCGCTCCCGAAATTTTCACCCCGAAAGGTACGTCTTTGTATATCATCCATCCGCGATCGGTTGACGCAATTTCGTGACTAGGTGTTTATGATGGTCGAAAAAACATCTTCTTCACGCAAGAACTTGCCTTCGGTCCAAACCACTCTAAGACTGTGCGCTATCGTTTCTTGATGCGCTACATGGCCATATTATTAACCTGCCACCCAGTTCGACGTTACATTGACCAACGGCGGCAACATAGGCACGAAGCCTCCAAAGGTGTATAAAGTCACCCTGACACTGGCCCAGGAAATCAATCCGGAGTAGGTATCCATTTCCCAGTCCGACAGACACTGAACGGTTGGTATTCCAGAGTACTCGATCAGTTCATCCATGGTCAACAGAGCCACGGAAACGACGTGCTCATCGCGATTACAGTATGTTTTCCGCTGCAAGGTATCAAGGCTACTAATGCGTCTTTATAGGCACTCAACGTAGCTGTTCGAATGAAGCCAAACCAATGCCACCCCTTCAACGTCAGATCATTTTTCACTGACCGCGAAAGACGCGACCTTGGAGGGGGTATCGAAATTTGGCGCGGCTATTTCCAATCTGTCCGTCCTGTGATCGGGCGGATGATCGTAAACGTAGACATCTCGACCGGATTCATGTACAAGCGAGGCTCCCTCATTGGCCTCTGCCTCGACTTTTTCGGGAGACAAGACCCCAACATACTGTCGCCAAAGCGAGGCCTACCAGATCGCGAACGTCTGCGATTGCAACGTTTCCTCTCTGGACTTCGTATTACAACTTCGCATACACACGGCGGAACTCGTCGAATCACCCGCGTTGTCAAGAAATTGAGTGCCGCTGGTGCTCGTGATTGTACGTTTCCTCTGAGGGAGGGCGGCACGAGCACGGTTGCGGATTACTTCGCCAGGACTGTCAACCGCCCCCTGCAGTACCCGGACGTACTATGCATTGAGGTTCTTTCTCATATCTTCACTCCGATTCGCAACTTTTACTAATGATTTGATAGGTAGGCAATGGTGCGCTCATCCCTCTGGAGCTGTGCGACGTCCCTCCTGGACAAATCATGAGGAAGCAAGTACCCAGCGACAAAATCAAGGACGTTCTGGCGTTCTCGACGATGAAACCTGCAGAACGATTCCAAAGTATTCGCTCTGGGTTTGAGGTGATGATACGCTCTGTTAACCAAGACGTTTATTTGCTCATCCCGTTGCGTGCAGGCATTATCGTACACCGGCAATGAGTACCTGGATGCCTTCGAAATGACAGGCATATCCCAAACTCCCCTTAACGTGAGCGCAAGGGTTTTGCAAGCGACAAGACTGAAGTACGGAGCTTCAAGCAAACAACCCACCATAGTAAGTGAGCCAGAAGCAACTTTCAGGGGTGGTACTGACGCTACGTGCAGCAACCTTCTAACGGAGCATGGAACCTGTGCGTGAACGTGATATAGATGTAGTTCTAGCTGACGTTCGTTCCAGTGTCGATAAGAGGTTCTTCGAACCAACAGAGATCCAACAATGGGTCATTGTCATATACGAGCAGCAGAGGCGGTTCGGCCAACAGAATGTCGACGGGTTGATCAACGGGCTAAAGGATGCCTGTCGTAGTGTCGGTTCGTACACATAAGGTTTTCGTCGGCGGGTACTAACGTGCTATGAACCCAGGGATGAAGATCACAAACGATGTCCCTATCGTGAAGTATGAAAACGGACAGGGGAATATTGCGAACGTATGTTTAGTATTGTGCGGGTGGAATTGTTATCGATGTACTTATATTTCCATTAGCAACTGAAAGCGGCTGGGGGGGAATGTTTCAAGAAATACAAGGCGCCGCCCAACCTCATTGTTGTTGTCCTGCCGGATAACAACACAGAGATATACACGGCCGTAAAACAGTAAGTTTTTACTTGACATCACATCATTGCGACGAATAGCATTGCTTTCCTAGCTTTGGTGATATTATGGTGTGTTGCATCAGCCATAATGCTGTTATTTCTTTTGTTCCTTACATTACACCGCAGCAAGGAGTAGCCACACAGTGCCTTATATCGTCCAAATGCTCTCGGGCGAAGATGCAATACTATGCAAATGTATGTCTGAAGTGAGTGTAACCGTGACATTCTCGTCGAGCTTTTGATGCTTACATCTGTCTTAGAATCAACGTCAAACTTGGCGGCATCAACGCCATTCCGGATCCTCAGTCGGCGGCAGTGCTGACTGATCCACATAACCCAACTATCATCATGGGTGCGTAGTCGATCGTCCCAGTCCCACTCTAAATTAAATGTCAAGACTTGCAGGTGCCGATGTCATTCACCCCGCACCTGGGTCAGAGGGGCGGCCATCCTTCACATCCCTCGTCGGGAGTGTTGATTCTAATGCAGCTAAATATGTCGCAGATACGAGGGTCCAGGCTGGTCGTACTGAAATGATCGAGGATCTACAAGCAATGGTCAAAGTCAGTGAATTAACATTACTTCTCTCCTTGTGTGGCTGATATGTACCTTCACCTGTCTATAGCATATATTGACCATGTATATGTCATACCGAGAGAAGAAAGAGAAGGTGGGATCGGCCTCCGTACCCCCCAAGAGGCTCATCTTCTACCGGGGTGTGTGTTCCTGTGTCTAAAACTGCTTGCAGCTGAGGGATACTAACATTACCTTGTTGTAGATGGTGTATCGGAAGGTGAATTTGCACAAGTCCTAGAGAAAGGTACATATACGATGGATTTTTCTATATGCACGCTCGCTGAACACTCGGTGCTCCCCTTTAGAACTACCTCGGATCAGGGCGGCTTGCGTCGAGCTAAAGATAAGGCCCAAAATCACGATCATTGTCGTCGGGAAACGACACCACATCAGGTTCAATACCGTTGACCCGCGCGATGCTGACAGATCTGGTAATTGCCCAGCTGGAATGGTCGTCGACCGCGACGTCGCACATCCGTCTGAGTTCGATTGGTACCTCTTGAGTCATGGAGGGCTGCTCGGGACCAGTCGTCCCTCCCACTATTCGGTACGTTGACTCCAGTCTTTAGCTGTAAATAATGTTGCTGACCATCGGTACCCAGGTTCTCTACGATGTACGCAGTATCCTCCAGCGTCTAATATTTCTAACCGCTGACGACTTCAAACCTTTGACTGCATCTATAGGACAACGCATTTTCGTAAGTCCTGTCGCGCCACTGTGCCGTTCTATCTCTCATATTCTGTTCATTGCAGCCCTGACGCACTTCAGGCGCTATCATTTGCGCTGTGTCACGTATACGCCCGAGCGACGCGCTCGGTATCGATTCCTGCGCCTGTTTACTGTGCGTATCACTCATCTCTGTGACCCTCGTGTAGTTAATGATACCTCGCTAGATGCCGACATCGTCTGTGCCCGAGCGAAGAATCATTACGATCCGCAGGGCAACATGCACTTGTCCGACTCCGCAACCCAGCTGTCCGCTGGGCAGGCAGATGCGTCGGTGGTAGCTTTCAGACAAGCTTTCCGACCGTTGCACAACGCTCAACGAACACTAATGTATTTCTCGGTGTGTATATTTCACTTGATGGTTCATACACAGAGAGATTTGACCATGATCCCAAACAGTAATGGCAACCTTCATGCCAGTTTGCGGGACCAGTTACGAAATCGCTTTCACTTTGCTATGGTTGTCACCTTTGTTTTTGTTCTCGTTGTAATCGAAGTTATCAACATGTTCTGCGCTGTACACAGAAGTCCTGAGAAGATTGAGGCATAGTCTAATAGAGATCAGGTTCTTCAGAACAAAAAAGGAACATAAACTGACTACTATAAATGTCAAAAAATTGAGACCAACGAGGCCATGCCAGGAATCGAACCTGGGTTACCGGAACATTCTGACAATCAGAATCCGATGTGATAACCGCTACACTACAAGGCCTTAGGCGAAGATGGTAAGGTCACATAATGTATCAAAGCTCAAAGAACGCACCCTCCGAAAATCCGACATCGATGTGCAATGACTCGGGTTGATTTTTGTTTTCTACAATTCAACTATGTCTACCTTCTTGCCGCTCGTTAGGCAGTCAAGCGAGGAGTTGGTAGAATTTTTGTTGCGCATTGGACCAGTGGTGGTACCGTACCAACCTCACTCATCCGACCCTTTACCTTCCCGGACTTACCTCCTTATCGACCCTAACACGCCCATATCTTCGGAAGAGATTCTGTCCGCACTCGATGCTGGAGTAGAGAAGGTCATAGTACCCCCAAAACTAGCAAAAGAACTGTTAAATCAAGTTCCAGCGCAGCGCCTTGTTTTACTCCTAGACGCCAGCAATTTCAGTGCCGTGAGCGACACCGTTCGGAATGCCGTCACAGGAGTTGTTCTGAAGACGCCAACGGTAGACTTAGACTTCATCACCTCGGTGGCGCGCTTCTTCGCGTCGTGTACCGTCTACGTCCTTTCTGCTGCCCTTACGCCGCCAACGACTGCCAGTATTCGCCAGCTGCGGACTGTTGGCGCGTCCTTCGTCATTCCAAGCTCACAGCTTACGATCGGACCGTCATCTGAATCTCAGATAAATATTTCAGACGCATTCACTGCTCCAATAACCTCGGACCGCAAAGACGGACTCTTCCCTACTGTTGTATGTGATGAAACTGGCCACTCGCTGGGCCTTGTATATTCCTCGGCGAACTCGATCAAGGAAAGTATCATCACTGGGAAGGGAGTCTACCAATCCCGGAAGCACGGGTTATGGAGAAAGGGCGAAACGTCTGGTGCCACCCAAGACGTCGTTAGCATTCGATTGGATTGTGATTCGGACAGTCTCGAGTTCAAAGTCATTCAGCACGGCGCAGGGTTCTGTCACCTCGAACGACAATCATGCTTTGGTGCTATCGGTGGCATCGCCGCACTGGAGAATACCCTATTGTCACGGCTCGAGTCCGCCCCCGAAGGATCGTACACAAGTCGCCTATTCAACGACCCCGACCTGCTTCGTTCGAAGATCATGGAGGAAGCAGGTGAACTCTGCCAGGCAGAGAGTCCAGAAGACATAGCATTCGAAGCCGCAGACTTGCTCTACTTCGCCCTCACGAAATGCGTTGCTGCGGGCGTAAGCTTCGCAGACATTGAACGGTCGCTGGACCACAAAGCCAAGAAGGTTGTGCGACGACCAGGCAATGCGAAGCCTCAGTGGTCCACCAGTCCAGCGGCAGCATCGTCATCGAAACCGGCATCGTCTTCTGAACCACCCTCTGCTACTAGCAAGTTAATTAGTATGCGAACGTTCGACCTCGCTACGATCGAGCAAGAGGAGCGGTCGCAATTGCTTCGGCGACCCGTCCTCAAATCAGACGAAATGATGGCCAAGGTCAGGCCTATCGTCGAGGACGTTCGCATCCGCGGCGACGCCGCCCTTCTCGAGCTGACCGCGAAATTCGACAAAGCCACTCTCGACGCCACCGTCATCTTCCCGCCATTTTCTCCGTCGTCTATGCAACTCGACGAGGGAGTGCGCGTAGCAATAGACAAAGCGTATCATAACATCCACAAATTCCACGACGCACAAGCTGATCGGTCCACCCTGGTAGTGGAAACCACGCCAGGTGTGATGTGTTCGCGCTTTGCTCGTCCGGTGGCTCGTGTTGGTCTTTACATCCCCGGTGGTACCGCTATCCTGCCTTCGACGGCGTTGATGCTCGGAATCCCGGCGCAGGTTGCTGGGTGCAAGGAGGTAGTCTTTGCAACGCCTCCCAGACCTGATGGAAGTATCTCTCCAGAGGTGATGTACGTTGCTCACCTAGTGGGTGCTACTGCAATCGTCAAGGCTGGGGGTGCTCAGGCAATTGCAGCCCTCGCATATGGGACGGAGACCGTCCCCAAGGTAGACAAGTTGTTTGGACCGGGCAATCAATGGGTAACTGCAGCAAAAATGTTGGTGCAAAATGACACAGATGCGTTGGTCAGCATAGACATGCCCGCTGGTCCATCCGAGGTTCTGGTACGGTGCCCATACCCACGTTATCTTTGTTCGTGACCTAATGTTGCGGCCAGGTTATTGCAGACCATACCGCGAATCCCGCGTTCGTGGCAGCCGACTTACTATCTCAAGCTGAACACGGTGTTGACTCTCAAGTGGTGCTCCTTGCCGTCGACTTGCCGGCCGAACGACTCGAAGCCATCGAAGAGGAAGTAGACAAGCAAGCGAAAGCGCTTCCTCGCGTCGACATTGTACGCCAATCAATTGCAAAGAGTATTATCGTGAAGACGGCGACGGTCGACGAAGCAATCGACTTTTCCAACGATTACGCGCCTGAGCACCTGATCATGCACTTGGAACACGCGCAAGACTGTGTCGCCCAGATCGATAATGCGGGCAGTGTGTTCGTCGGCCCGTTCACTCCAGAAAGGTCCGTTTCCTCGTTTCTATTCTTACTTTCTAACCGCTGAACTGAGATTGGTTAGCTGCGGTGATTATGCATCCGGTACAAATCATACCCTCCCAACAAATGGATATGCGCGCCAATTCAGCGGTGTTAACACCCAGTCCTTCCAAAAGCACATAACCTCACAGGAGATCACGGCTGCAGGCCTAAAAGAACTCGGTCCAGTGGTCGCAACGTTGGCCGATTGCGAGGGCCTTGCTGCGCATGCCAACGCCGTTCGAATACGGTTGCGTGAGATGCAGTGAGCTCGGTACCAATTTGTGCACTTGCGCATGGACACGTAGATTTAGATCTTGAAAATGATAAGCACCATCTCCGAAATGAAGCAGGATAATGATTAAGGAATCTATGAACCAAATATGCCACTGAAAGGTACGATGAGGTCTAGAATAACGACAGCTAAAACAAAGATACGGAAAGACCACAAAATTAGTTGGTCCGGTAAAGGGCGCGCTTGGCGACCTTCACGATAAGCGGTGTGTCGGGGAAGGCAAGATTCTCGAGGTTGGTAGCGTACTGGGGAAATGCTAGTGAGATATGGGCCCTCACAGTATAAACCACGTTGACTTACAGGGGTTGGGACGTCAGCACCAGTGACTCGTTCAACGGGAGCATCGAGGTAGTCGAAAGCTTCACTCTCGATTATCTGCGCACAGATCTCACTACCAACACCGAAGGCCGGGAAACCGCCTTCAACGATGACGAGACTAAGCGGAGTATTGGTGAGGACGTCCTTTGAAAAAGGAAAAACTCCGTGGACTAACCGATTTGTCTTCTTAACCGACTTTTTGATGGTGTCAATATCCAGAGGACGGATACTTCGTAGGTTGATAACTTCGGCTTTGATACCTTCCTTAGCGAGGGCATCGGCGGCTTCAAGACTGTGTGTGACCATCTTGCTGTGGGCGACGATGGTGATGTCACTACCCTCCCGTTCGACTTTGCACTTCCCTATGGGGAGTAGGAAGTTGTCGGACATGGCCTCCGATGACATTGGGAAAGAAACACCGTAAAGCATCTCATTTTCCAAGAAGACGACGGGGTTGGGGTCCCGAATGGCAGACTATGATGATAACAATCGTTGATCACAAGGACATGAAGTGAAACGCGGAAGAGCTTACCTTCAACAGACCCTTGCAATCTTCAGCGCTCCAAGGGCTGACAACTTTGAGACCTGGTACTGAACCGTACCAAGCAGCGTAATCTTGCGAGTGTTGGGCACCAACACCAGCCGCCGCACCGTTCGGGCCACGGAAGACGACAGGACACGGGACGTTACCACCCGACATATAATATGTCTTGCCAGCGGAATTGACAATCTGGTCGATTGCCTGCATGGCGAAGTTGAACGTCATGAATTCACAGCTGCGCAAGACTGATGAGATGCAGCAAAACCAGAACGGTATTTTGAAACTTACATAGGTCGGAGGCCAGCAAGCGCGGAGCCAACAGCAATACCAGCAAAGCCCATCTCCGTTATAGGTGTGTCGACGACGCGCTTCTCACCAAACTTGTCCAGAAGTCCTTTCGTGACCTTGATGAAATTTTTCATGAATTCACGACCGGCATATTAGTGACACGTTTGAAAACTAACCTTGTATGCGCCATTGTACCGCGCGACCTCTTCTCCGAGAACGTAGACGGACTCGTCGCGTATCATTTCCTCTTCCATTGCAGCGTTCAAGGCCTCACGCACGGTCATCTACGAGACATGGATATAGTTTGCGCCCAACGGGGTGCGTGAAGGTCCTCACCGTGTGTTGCTCTGTCTCCGTTGCATATCGTCGGATACCGTTCAGAGCCCCGCGAGCGGTCACAGACGACGAGGCTCTTGCATTGGCCAATGCAGGTGCCATGCGCGAAAGGGCCAGACGAGCGTGCATCGTGAAGATGGTGGAGAAGAAGAAAAGAGGAAGGTGAGGTGTTGTGTTGGCAAAGTCTCGTTTCTTCCGAGACCCAACTTTTGGGGCGTAGGAAAATTGACGTAAACAACGACAGTCAGCGCTTGAAGCGATAAATATCCTACGCTAAGTCCACCTCCGTTTTGATCGCCACTCATCCCCTCTTGTTGACAAACGAGCCAGAGTAAGGCTTCAAATTATTTATATCTCGACCCGCACATGTATCCTGGACTGACAAAGTAATAATTATCCCAGCTGATCACTCCCGATGTATAAGCGCCCTTGTACTACCATGGGACATTATAAAAGTTGATAAGGATTTTATCATAACTGATTCCATGTCCTCTACGCAGCAACCAGTCGTTCTAGTGACCGGTGCTTCAAAGTTAGTTCTCATTTCCTACCAATGTTTCCCGATTGACTTGGGATTTACAGGGGAATTGGCCTCGCCACGACTAAGATCCTCTTGCAGGATTTCAATGCCATTGTTGTAGGCCTCGCTCGCTCCAGGACGCCAGACGTGGACGCACTGGTGTCCGACGATTTCATGTTCATCGAATGCGACGTGTTTGTAAAATCGCCTATTCTT